TATAAAGTTATTATAATTTGCCCCAAATATTGGGGAATGGGGTGAAGTCTCCAATACCACTGATTAAACAACATTTCTTTTATTGCTCATGGAGAATCACCCACAGATTAAGTCAAGTATAGATATACAAATATCATAGTTCTTTCTATTATTTATTTTATTTAGTATTGCCCTTTCCCACATAGTAGGCATTCAAGAAACATCTATTAATCTGGCATATTGATTTTTGCTTTGTTTATTGGCACAAAAGCATAGTTTAGATTGAAAGAGTCTACTCATTACACAGGCTCCATTTGACACAAACAGGAAAAAAATTCGCTTCCTCCTGTTCAAATGTGGTTCCTAGAAAAATAAAGCACTCATTGCTAAGCTATTTTTGTGTGTGTGTGTATGTGTGTGTGTGTCTTTTAAGGAGATATTGTAGCTGGAAACTTGGAGACTTGCTCTTTCAAAATGACAGCTTTAAAAAAGTCTACATAACACAATTTAGCTTAATTCTAAACCCATCAGAAAATGGACTGTTTAAAAAAATCTCTCCTCATGAACCAGCTACCTCCCTATACTCTTACCCTGTCACTAATATGAAAAAAAAGTCGATTATATTCTTTTTTGGTTGTACAAACATTCTTCAGAGAATGATTAGACCTGTCACAGATGGAATCTTCAAATAAGTTAGTTGTTTATGGTCATATCCTAGGAATTCCCTAGTGAACCGAATTCTCCTTGCAATCTTTGGTAATATTATTACTAAACTATAGGCATTTATACTGTTCATGAGGAAGTTGGTCTGTTTATCGTGAAAACAACAGGGTAAAGTTTCTTTTCTCATATTTCTTTTAGACACCAGAATTTTAAAGTATGATTAACTAGAATGGTTAAAAACATTTTCTTAAACAACTTATTGTTTTTAACTGTTGCTATTAAAAATGTCTGGTACTTAGAATGTATAAGAAATGCTCATCTGCGTAGAGGAAGCTAAAATAAGAGAAATGAGACTAACATCTTCTCCAGGTACTAAAATTTCTCTGATCAATTTCCCTTCTATCCCAAAGTATCTCAAAGCCTCCAAATGTATCATCTTCTCTCCATTTTCTCCTCATTCTTAAAATTACTTTTATAAAACATAATTCTGATTTTGTCATTCTGCTATTTAGAATTTTTTGTAAGCCCCCTAAATATCTTCAGGAGGAAGGGTAAGGTTTTTAAGGCATGTTATGGTATGATCCCTGATCAATTGTCTCAGGCTCATCTCCCCTCTTTTTTCCTTTCAACTTACTATATACTGTTCTCTCTGCAAGAAATACCCTTCTATGCACTTGTCTGCCTGGAACATTCCTATTCATCTTCTAAGACTTAACCCAAATGTCCTTTCTTCACAAAGCCTTCCTCATCCTCTTTTCCACTCCACTGACATTACTAGTTATTCCTTTCATTTGTTTCATTTACTAGATGGAGAGTTGCTCGAGGCCAGGGATTGACTTACTCATCTTGGTGTCCCCAGAGCTTGGCATAGTTCCTGACACATAGGTGGCGATCATTAAGTGTTTTTCCACAAACCAAATGAAAGGATGGACTGGTTCATTGCAACATTATTTCTTACCATACATTGAATGGCTGTCTTATTCTTTTGATAACCTTGAATCCAGAGAGGTTTGTTCTGCACAAAGGGCAGATTGATAATTAACCAGTTGCTTTAGTTCTGACATGAAGTAGTGGGAGGAAGGAAATGTTGAAAAAATACTAGATCCTATCTGTATCTGGTTTTATTTTATAGATCCAGACTTGCTTTCCAGTTTGAATTCACTGCATGAGACCTGTCAAATAAATATTATAGTTACTGATGCAAATGATCACCTACTGTTAATAATGCTCAAGAATTTAAGGTATGTTCTGGAACATTGCATCTCTTGCTAAAAGAAACTCTGAGACAAGAACACTGTAGAGAGATTTTTAGAAATACCAATCATGCATGCAGAGCAGTCTATTAGCTATAGATGCAAATCTAAACAATCCGAGATTTTCACTTACTTTTCTCGACTATAATTGAGTTCAAAGAGGGGCATTAAGAATTCTTAAAAACATACCAGGACATCAAACACCACCTCTAGCTGGCTGGTCCTATTTCCAGGTTTCCTTTGTCACTTCAAATATTTCCATTTTTCTTAGATTTTGTGCTGCTGTATGGGAGGAACCTTACTTAAGTTTATACATTTTGAATTATAGGCTAAAATAATTCTTAGCCAAATATTTACAAAAGCTGTGAATTAAGGGTATTACATCCACTCAATATATATTATGTACATTGACTGCCATAGTACTATTCAAAATGAAAAGTCTGGCATTTTCTCCCTTCTTCTCCTCTTACTTCTTTGCCTTTCTCAGTCAATTTTCTAAGAGCAGCTTGCTAAAGAAACGCTTTTGAAAAAAGCTTCTATTGAAACAAATGAGGAGAAAGAGTTTGATTTAGGGCTTTGTGTTCCGGAGCCAAAGTCATTATCAGACAGGGGATAGAGGAGGTACAAGTTCCTTTGGAGGCCACTAGTGGCCGCTGCATAAACTTTAAGAAGACGGTATTTAAACACACACGACTATGCCTTAGCAGGGATGATTTGGGGAGAAATTGATATATGTAGTACCAGAAACCCACTTTTAAACACAATTAAACAAATTTTAAAATCAAAGGATAAATAGGAGATGGACCTCCTTGATCAGATGCTTTACATGTTTTTTGTTTTTTTTCTGTCCTCCTTAGCTGGGACTCACTGCTATGCTTCCTGGGTTCAGAGATCCTGTCCTCACAGCATGTAGCACTTAGTTCATCTATGTGAGAAATATTAAATGGATGCATGTTTATGAAATCTGGAAGTTGTTATGAATAATAAGATTATAATGACTAGGGCTAATGAGTCATTCAGTTCTCAAGTGATTGCTTGTTCATTCATTCTACAGTCTTTGGGCACTCACTTCTATGCCACCACCTGTAATAAATATCCCAGAATGTCACTTGAGTTGTGGACATATGACTGCCAGGCAAATAATGACTGATTTTTCCAAATAATTCGGTTCTAAAGAATTCTCACACCTGCCTCTAAAGTAAACAAAAAAGCAGTAATCCCAGAATTCTTTCTTAGCTGACCTCCCTGCTCAAGTTCTCTGGCTGTTTGATTTCTTATTAGTAACATTTTATTCAGATTTCAGATATACAGGGGCTTAAGGCTGTACATTTTCCCTTTATAGTAAGTGTTGACTGGAGTGGGTTCCTGACTGTGTAGGGATATGATAATTTGCACATTCTGAATCAAAGAGCCTTTATTAGTCATGTACTGTGGGTCAGGGACTCTCACAGGCACTCGTCATTTGATCTGCATGACAACGGTTAAACAGGTAATGCTTCCATTTGCTGATGGAAAAACTGAGGCCTGGGGGCACTTACATGAATTCCCTTGAGTCCCAGGGTGTGCAAGTGGCAGATGTGGGATAGAAACCTGGGTCTTCTGAGTCCTGGACTGGAGGGCTCTTTGCCACATCTCACTGCCTCTGTGCAGGTTCACATTTCTCCTCACTTATCCTATTCCTCCTTCTCTTTCTGTTCTTCCTGCCTACTTTCTGCAGCACCCTTCCCTGGGGCTCAGAGTCTTCTCTGCCAGAAGGAATTTTGCTAGTGACCTGCTTAGTAATTTGACATCTGCACATTTCTCAATTTATTTGCATTCTTAAAAGAAAAATAAAAAGACTCCTAGACTGGGCAGTGAAGGAGTTGAACATAATTGCTTACTTTGGCCTCAGTTTCCTAACCTATAACACGAGGATTTAGATGAGTTGATTAGCAAGTCCTCTTAAACTCAGTTTTGTGCTTTAATGATAGCGTTTTCAGGAGTGCAGTACCTAGCTGAGAGAGAGAGAGCTCAGAACTACAAATTTACAAGTTTGTTTTGGTTCCTCTACTCAGCTGAAGATGCTCTCTGTCCTGCGAGCCCCTTCCTCCAAATTTGGATAATATCTCGTAGGTGATACTGAATATCTCCCTGTTTTCACAATTGGATATCGAATCATCTAGACATGAGAGTAAAACAGTGAGACCTGTCCACAATATCCAGGCGATGCTCTGACCTGCTGGACTGTGGGAATCAGCACTGTCCTTTGCTTTCCACTGATGGTCTCTTTCTGATGAGGTGAATTAACCACACAATCATAGAGTGATCATGGGCACCTATACCAGCTAGTGGGTATTTAGCCCCCGATGAAACCTAGCACAGACCACCCTCAGGAGCAAAAGTGGGTGTTGGTGCATGTGTGCTACTGACAAAAAGCACTCCATGGTAGATGCCATTCAGGGTCATGAGTCTGAATGTCCCTGCCTGGCCCAGGGGAATGGTGTCTGTCTCCAAGCCACCACTGGCACCTGGGCCCTGTCACAGCTGACAGGGCTGAGGAGAGGTCAGCTGCTGGCTGTTTCTCCCAGAGCAGGTCCCTTGAGATCAACAGAGGCAAAAGCAGAGAAAGCAGCTTGCATCGGCTGCTCACCAGGTTGCTCTGGAGAGAAATAGAGGGCTTCCATCTCCATTACTGTCAGCATCTGGCATCTCTCCCCGTCTCTGAAATTCACAGCAATGGATGGAGGAAGGAGGAGGGAGAAGGAAGGTGGTGCAAGCCAGACAATCAAAACAACCACAATATTTGGGAAGTGGAAACTTCCAGCTAGAAAACATTCTTAAAAACAGAAGAGTAGAGCTGGAAGAGACCTTGGCTAAGCCCATGCCCTTGTTTTGCAGAGGTGACTTTCCTGAGATGACAAAGCTATTAAGTGGCAGAACTAGGACAAGAATCGTGGTCTTTTACCACTCAAAAGAGAGTTTTGGAGGCTTTTCTTTAAAACCTCAGACTGGCAGGGGGCCCCCTTTTGTGGGAGCTCAGCAGAGACAGAGGGTGCTGTCTCTTTCCCAAGTACCTATGGGAAAGAGCGGCCAGGCTGGTTATAACTGGGCAAGAGGTGTCTGTACCTTGCGGGTTGAAGCCCCGGGGCACCAGGCTCTGCAGCTCCACAGTAGAGAGTTCATTCTCTGCTGCATTGGAGTTGTTGGGGGGGACAGCTCTCCTGCCTCCAAAGGTGGTTCCAGGGGTCCCTGACATTCTCAGCTTCTGAAGTTCCTTGAGGGGAGAGGAAAATCGAGACACAGAAAAGGAATGTGAAGCAAGTTACATTTGACACAAAGTTTCGAAAATAGAGAAACAGACATAACTATGTGTGATAGCACTGGAGCAACACATTTTGAGTTTCACATAAATAAAATCTGAGAAGTGGTAGTGAGAATTAGTCTAATGATGGAGCAGAGTTCCCCAAGGATCTCAGAAAGATTTGTTGAAACATACGTAATTGAAGAAATGAAATTTATAGAAATGAAAATTGTAAAAGATTTTTGGGAGCAAGGTTTTTTTGTTCTCATTACCCCTAAAGGCAATATTTTTGTAAAAAAAAAAACCATTTACTGTCATATGCATGTATATATGCCTATTTCATATAGACATACAAGACTTAAGGCCCTTTGAAGAATAAACTCATACGACCATGTCCAGATCAGAGATGTCCTCCCAAGCATTCATGTTTGCAATTTAATTCAACCCTTATTTATTGAGGGTCCACTGTGTGCCACACTGTGGTCTGGGCACTTGAGATACAGCAGAACAAAAGTCTTCTTGCCCAATAGAACCTTTGGTCTAGAGCGGGTTAGGGTCCAGCCCAACAAAATTCAGAAGTGAACAGTAGGAGGTGAGAAATTGGTAACTACTGTGGAGCCAGGACCACAAGGAACAGGATAAGGGAGTTGGAGAGTTCGGGTAGGTGAGAAGGAGGCATGCTGCAATATTAAATAAGGATATAAGTAGCCCATCTTCTAAACTTACTTGATCAGTGGTGCTGACACCGCCCTTGTTCCAGGCCTGCTTCCCCTTCCTTTGGAGTTTGTGCAGGCAAAAAGCCAGTGTAAATGCCACACACATTCCTGTCAGTGCCCAATAACTAACTGACCAAATGAAGGGAGACCTTGTTTCTGACCCCAAAGAAGTGTCCCCTTGATCACCTGGATTACCCAATCATGCCTCTTGGCGATTTTGCTATTTTCAAAAACCAGGCACACCCTCAAAAGATGAAGAGTGGTCATTATAGAGGCAACTAGAGAAGACTGTTCCAGAAACATGTTGAGCAAAGGCAACACAGCTGGAGACAAGAGAATCACTTTCTAAGGTATTTGGTCTTAGAAGGAGACAGCAGTGTTTGGAAGCATAAGATCTGAACAGGTATTCATAAATATCCCACAGATATATTTACAGACAGTTTCTAGTGAACTGAAGGGAGTAATAAGGGAGGAAAGAGAAAAGAGTTAATGATGGGGAGAAGGCAGGTAAATGCAGTCCTCAGTGGGAAATAGCAAGGGTGGACTGTAGGATGACCAGGAGAGGTTAAGACTTAGGGAAGAACAGCACAGAACAGTTCAGTAGCCTGTTAGGAGAGAGAACCCATTAAGCAGAGAACTGGGAAGCCCATGCAAGTCTGGCTGGGTTAGTGAAGGTGGACAGAGACACCCCTTTCCCCAGGTCTCAGGGAAGAGAAGGTGCTCTAGTTCAGCTTCCTCACTGGGATGCAGTCAAGCAGGTGTTCTCACCTGCTCCTACTTCCTGCTCCCCAACCTTTTATGTCCCTTCTCCATAGTCTGCTCCCCTGATGAGCACCCCAACACCCCCATTCCCATTTGTTGGCCTTCTTAGCCAGCAGAACCTTCAGGAAAGCTTTGTAGGGTGCCTGAGAAAAGTCTTGCTCAAAACAGGGGCTGGGTAAATGAGAAGTTAGGGGCCAGGAACAGAATTGGACAAGTGGGGCTGCCTCTGATCTTCATCCTCAGGTGCCCCAAGCTGCAGCCCGAGGGACCTAGTTTCAGCAGGTAGGACACAGCAGACACTAGGCAGCCCCTGGGTGCAGGGCTGTATCTATCCTGGCAGTAGGGATGACTTCTTACCTGTGGTCCCCTCCTGCGGTGCCCTAGGGCAGGCTGTCTGTGTGTGTCTCCGGATACTTCCTCAAAAAGACACAGAAAAAACGACCAGAAAGTTGGCTCTTAAATAACTTCCTAACAGCTCCCTCCCTTCTCCCCCATCAGACAGGGTTTTCTCCTCCCCCTTTTTGACAGTTGGAGAAAGTGAGCAGTTTCAGGACTTTCTGTTTCTTTCTATTTACTTCTCCCATCCTGCTCTGTTATTCTGGCATGCTGCTCTTCCTCTTATCTATGACCCCCTTACTCCCAATTTCCCAGCCCGGTTTCTCCCCACCATCCCCACCTCCAGTTGTGCCTCCCACTCCTCAGCTGATGCCTGAGAGGACCAGCTAATTGCCAGGCAGACCTGCCCCCTTCCCTTAGTAGGGAGAGCTAGAAGGGTCTAGATTTTGCCATGCAAGTTGGTGGGGCCTGAAGGGAGGTCTGCACTCCTGCAGACTGGTCACAGACAGCTGTGACCATGTATAAAGCAAGGCTGAAGGACATGGTCTGTATTCTTGAACCATCCGCGGGTGTCACAGCCACTACCTAACCGCAGACTTCCTGCCAGAGGGGATGCCGAGCTGAAGGGAAAATGAGTAAATGCTTTAAAGAGTGCCACAAAAATTAGAAAATTGCACTTTTTTTGGTAAACCATTTTGGTTTATCTTCAAACAATTGGAAAAAAGGAAAGAAATTTTTCTTTCTAAAATTTTCCATATTTTTTTTCTGAATCTTGGTATCTCTAAAAACTCCTATTTTTAGTCATGGCTATTTCTAACTTCATTCTGTTTCTAAATTTCTGACCCTACCACTTAATCTAATTTCACAGAAAAAAAAAAAAAAAAAGACACCATTGGTTGGGAATTCTCTCAATTTCCTGCTACCAAATCTATGAATTTACCTGCAACCATAAACATCTTTCCCTTCTTTCTTCCTGTTACTAAAGTGGGAAGAATGCCTGCTCACTCTTATCCATGGCCAAGTGCACCTTTTCCTCTTTGCCTATGCTCCATGGCCCCTTCTCCTCCAGGTATTTGCTGCGCTATTCATCCATTCTCTCTCTTGTATCTTAGCTTCTGCTCTCTAGCAGCTGCTTTCGATTATCAAGAGCGCACTTCAAGTCAAATCTCTTCAATATTTTTGAGTCCTTTCTTCATCCCACATCCCCCTAGCTATTGCTTCTTTCTCCTCTCCTCTTCATTTCAAGCTTCTGCCACCTGGTTTCTGCCCCTATTATTCTACTGAAGCTGTAGTTCAGGGTCACCAATGGCCTGTACTAAATCCAAAGGACGATTCAGTTTTCATTTACTTAACCTTTGGAAGTATTAAACTCTGTTTCTCACTCTTGCCTCGAAGGTCTTTTCTCCGGGCCTCTCTGGAGTATCCTTAGTGCCGTGAAGCTCCTTGATAATCTCAGCAACTTCCACATTTTCAATTTCCATCCATATCCTGATACCTCCTAAGTCTAGGTCTTCAGCCATAGTTCTTTCCAGAATGCCAGACTCTCTTCTGTCCACCAGCCATCTTCACTTGGCATGTCCCAGTGATAATTTATACATTCATCATGTCTAAAATGAGATGTATAATTTTTCCTGAAAAACTGATTCATCTCAGGAGTTCCTTATCTCAATGAATGCCATCACCTTGCATATAGTTACCTCACACATAGCATCATTTTTGACACTTCCTTCTCCCAAACCAACCTTCAAATCCAATCTTTTAACAACTATTTTCTACTCTGCTTTTTAAATATCTCTTGAATATACACCCATTTACTCCTTTCCAATCCATTCTCTACAGTACAATCAGAATGAGCTTTGTGGAACTTAAATCTGAAACAAAATATTTTGTCCAAAGCCTTTTTATTGCTACTCTTCTTTGCTCTTACTATAAATTCGAAGCATCAGCTGACAATATCCCATTCAGTCTAGGCCCTGCTATGCTCTTCAGCACCACCTCTTTCATGCTCTCTGTCATACTGTCTCACTCCCCCATCTCAACCTGGACCCTACTCACTCCATTCTATGCTGCAGCCACAGTGAATTTCTTAGCATGTGCTCTCTTCCCTCTCCTCCTCTTGCTATAAGACTATTTCTTATTTACCCTCCAGATCTCAACCTAAATTACTCAGATACACTGCAAGGAGCTTGCCTTGTGATGCTGCTCCTCAAACTGTATGACCATTTTCTGTTTCCTTAGACTACATCATTAGACTACAAATGAGTGGAGAATCCAACCAGAGCTCTCCAAGGAAAGCCTGCTACCATTCAATTACCCAAAGCCCATACTTTCTATATTCTTCTGAGTGCGCTAGGGGAAGATATTAGAGAAATTTGGTAGTTCTCTTGGCAAACATTAAGTCTGAGTGTACTGGATTTCTAGATACCCTTGCTATGTGAGGCAAGAGTGGTCAGCTTTGCACCCTTCAAATTAGGTTCCACAATTGCCAGGTCCCCCTAGGACTCCTGGCTGTGTTATGCATTTTGGGATAGGTTTGTAACCCTCACAATCACCACTATGGGGTCATTTTTGGTCTGAGACTCACTGATTATTGTGTGAACACGCACACATGCTGGTTAATGTTCTAACTCTTCCAAATTACCAACCCAGGAGCATTAAAAGTGCAGTGGCTTTCCTCGTGCCTAATAAATAGTGTCAATAAGAGAGTGTCTGGGTGCTCTAAGCCCTAACATGTGGTCGAAGACCATCCATGTTACAGAGTCTCTCCTCATAGTCCTGTGACTGAGAAATCAGAACAAAGTTTCCTGGCCATACAGTCAACCTCAAGCTGTGCTAGAAAATGTGACTTCTGTAGAAGCAGCTAGGTGCACAGACTTTGAGATCTACAATGTCGTTGATCTCTGAATGTTCCTTCCCTGGCGTTGAGGTGGCACGGTGCAGGTATTTAAGAAATGTAGCAGGCGGGATCCAGCCAGAAAAATAAAAACAACTTAGGTCTTTTTGAAAGAAGGAATTTAACACAGTGGACTGGTTTCACAGGTGATAGAAGAATCAAGAAGCCAAGCAAGGGAAGGTGAGTCATCTCAGCAATTAGCAACAGCTGGGAGGATTTGGTATCATCACAGCACAAGAGCTGGACTTATGTACCAGGGACTGAAACTGCCTGAGATTCAGTCATTACCAGAAACACTGTCTGAAGTCAAAAGGGAGGGAAACCCTATCCTAGCTTGTCTTTCATTCTCCCTCCGTTGTCTCGCATTTGCTGCACTTAGCTAAAATCAGCTGACAAAGGAGTTGGGAAAACACAGCCTGCACAGTTGGCACCACCACGCCTGTTTTGGAGGGGTTGTCCAAGGATCATTCCCATGTTCAATGATTCACAAGGTGGACTCAACAGACTGTAATCCTCGAAGCTATGATATATTACAGCGAAAAGATACAAAGTAAAATTAGCAAAGGGAAAAGATACATGAGACAAAAGCTGAAAGAAGCCAGGTATAAGTTTCCAAGAGTCCCCTCCCAGTGAAATCACACAGGACATGCTTAACTCTCCCAGCAAAGAGGTGTGAAAACAGGTGTGATGTGTGGTCTACCAGGGAATCTCTTAGAGACCTAGTGCCCAGGGTTTTTACTGGAAGCTGGTCGCATAGATACCCTCTGTCTAGCATGTATGAAAGTCTACGCTCCCCAAAGAAAACAGGTGCTCGGCATAAACCACATTATCTGTGCAAACCATATAGGTGCAGTGAGCCATGCTTATCGGTTAGGGAATGGTGGGACAACTCCTAAAATCCAAGTTCCTAGATGCCAGCCGAGGGCCAGCCTTACAAGGAGGCCTCTCTAAGGAGAGCAGTTTCAGGTCTGCTGTGTTGATTCCTTTCTACACACCCTTTCCACCCCAACTCAGTACAAAGTAGGGCAGAGAAAAGATGAGAGATGGATCTCAGGGCAAGCAGTTCCAGGACTGGCACATCAAACTGGACGATTCATCACAGTCTGACCAGTTCCTCACTCTCCCTTCCAGATGTTGCTATTGTGTCACAACAATGGCCTGGAGCAAGAGGGCACTTCAGTGGGAAGGACATTTGGGTAATGCAGTTCTGTCCCCGCCGCCCCACACCCCATCCCCGCCGCCCTTTCTCTGGCATTACAGGCTCAGAACAAGCCCTCTGAGAAGATGTGCATTCTCTTTGAGTACATAAGCCCTGGCACACCTTCTCTGTTTTCTGCAACCAAAGGGGCCAGGATCCCAGTTTGTTGACTGAAACTTGAAGAATGCTGCAATTTCTACTTCACAGTCTGCTCAAGGGGCAGGGCAAGAATGCCTAAACAGTCACGGCGGGATCCTGGCTCTGTCAGATTGATGCGGAAACCTTTGGGAATTGTAGGTGACAGAAGATACATGGGAGGAGTGATTCTAAGTTCCCTTACTTTGACTCTTTAATTCTTACTTTTATTTCTATGGTATGGCCTCTTCTCT